GAGGTCCGGGGCGCAGCACGGAGATGGGCTCTGGGAGGGTCCGGGGATGTGCCAAGCTTTGTGGGGCCGCTCCTGGCCTGCCCAGGCCACCGGGGACGCTTGCCCTCCTGCCAGGCCTCTCGTGCCTCCGAGCCCTGGAGCTGCTCGAGGGGCCGGGGGAGAACAGCGCCAGAAGCACCAAGCGGCTCTCGTGCCCTGCCCTAGAGAGGTCCAGGAGGTGCACTGCCCTGTTGACAGTGCCTGCGGGATTCCCTGTCCCCGTGGCTGTCCCTGTGCAGCCGGCCGGCCAGCCGGCCAGGGCTTTCCAGCTTTATGGGACCGGCCGTCTCCCTGGGAGAGTCGCGGGGCAAGCTCCGGGCACATGAGCCCGTCCTCCAGTCTGTCCAAACTGAGAGGCTTTCCCTCTGCCCATGCTTGCACCCAGGCAGGGTCTGTCCTGGGTGCAACCCTGAGGGTCCCGGGTGCAGCAGGGTCTCGTCTCCCTGGACCATCGCTCCTGGCTCCAGGGACCGGCGGAGAAGCACGAGATGTCAACGAGCGTCTTGAGCTGCCGTGGGGGTCTCACAAGGAGTCACCTCCCCTGGTCCCAGCAGGCCCAAGCAGCCTTGACCCTGGAGGCTGGCAGAGCCCCTTGGGCTGGACCAGCAGTGCTACTCCTGCTCCTGCCCTGGACCAGCTGCCGCAGCGGCTGAAGCCAGGCGGATGCTGTCAGGGAAGCCAGCGAACTCCAGCTCCTTCCCCCCCTTCACAAACGAAGCCGCGTGCAGGATTTCAAGCCAGCACTCGCTACGGAGCCTCGTTTGCCTCCGCTCCCAGCGCCCAACTGGGCCCGGGGGAGATGAGCCAGGGCAGGGGCCGCAGCAGCCCAGGGGTCACTTTTGTGCCAGGGCCTGAATGACCCGGAACAAATGACCCCGGGGCGCGGGGCCTGGCGGGGCCGGACGCGGGTTTGGCCTTGCAGGGACTCGTGCCCAGGGATCTGCATCTCCACTGGAGCAAACCCAGGCAGGACTTCCCAGCTGGTGCCCCCCTCCAACCCTGCTCCATGACCTGCCCAGGGGACGGGGCTGGGCTCAGACAAGGGGGCTCCTCTCTGCATGCATGCCCGGCCCGGGACACAGGCCAGACAAGCCCCTCGCTGGGCAGAAGGAAACGCCCTGCCATGGTGCAGCCAGGCCGAGGCTTGAGCACCAGGGCAGTGGGCGCTGGAGAGAAGAGAGAGCACTGGGGCATGTGCAAACGTGTGCAAAAGGTGCTGGGATGGGTGGCAGCCGTGCTGCCCTGGCACTGCGGCCGCATCTGGTTTGTCCAGGGATGGTGGCGAGGGGGACGGGGCAGAGAGTGGGGAGCCCGGAAACATGCGGGTGGGTGTGTGTGTGTGTGTGTGTGTGTGTGTGTGTGTGTGTGCGCGCGCGTGTGTGAGCAAGTGCCTGTGCAAGGCTCTGTACACAAGACCATAGAAGCAGACAGGAAGGAGAGTCTCAGGGTGGTGTTTGTGTGTAAGTGTGTGTGCGCAGACATGTGTGCATGTGTACACTAGTGCAATTGTGTGTGGACACGTGCACACCAGTGCATTTGTGTTTCTGCATGTGTGTATGTGTAGATGTGTGTGTGCGCATATGTCCCCACACACATTTGTGTGTGAATGTGTGCGTGCCAATGAAGTTGTGTGTGTGGATGCGGTGCCAGTGCAATTGCGTGCATGTACAAGCATGTGTGTGGGTGCGTGTGCACACCAGTGCAGCTGTGTGCCTGTGTGTGCATACACATCCCCAAATAAACCCCTGTGAGCTCGTTTGTGGGCTCGTTTGTGCTCCATATGCACGTGCGTATCCTTGCAAGCAAGCAGGGCGTGGAAGCCACAAGAGCACATACATGAGCCCACATCCAGACCACAGCCCACAAGTGTGTCTGGCGTGTGTGTGTGTGTGCAAGTGTGTCCCCATCCCTCTGGGCAGGAGCTGAGCGTGTCCCCCTGACACCTGCCAGGAGTGTGCGTGCCCAGGGGACTGTGCAGTCCAGCCATGCCCGTATCTCCCTTAGCTGGGCCGCTTCACCCCCACCCCACACTCCCCCTTTCCCCAGTGCCACGACACATGCAACACATGTGTCAACCCAGGGCTGGCCCAGACCCCGTCGCCGCACCGGCTGGAATGAAGCCGCCAGCCCCTCCGCTCCTAATGGCCTCCCACCCCCCCCCCCCCGCCCCCGGCCGCGCGCGTCCCC